TTTTTGTCGGTCATGGGGCTTGAACTCTGGGCCTGGGCGCTGTCCCTCAGCTCTTCAGCTCAAGGCGAGCGCTCTACCACTTGAACCACAGAGCTACTTCTGGTTTTCTGGCGATTAATTGGAGATAAGAGTCCCACGGACTATCCTGTCTGGGCTGGCTTTGAATCATGATCCTCAGATCTCAGCCTCCTGAGTAGCTAGGATGACAGGCGTGAGCCACCGGCGCCCGGCTAAGGTCCTCTGTTATTTTGCTGGCTTTTTGGACATGGCGCCATGCCAGGGGGCTTCTGTGCCTTCTTGGTTGGTCACTTTCTACTATGAGGATACCTGAATCAGAAATCTGACTCTCACTCTCAAAGAGACTCCAGTGGACAGGGACACCTTCCATCTGTAACCTCTTTACACTCACCAGATTCCTCCCCTCTCTGTCCTCCAGGCCTCTTCCCTCTATGTCTTCTGCATCTCTGCCCTCCTACATCCTCCGGGACTCAGTCCTATGTCTTCCATAGCTCCTCTCTTCCATGTCCTTTGGAACTCCTCCCCCATATGCCCTCTGAGACTCTGTCCCCCTGTGTCCTCACCAGACTTTCATGTTTCTTATTCCAATGGGGTCCTATCAATTTCTCCTGAGCTGGGATACTTCCTTGGGATGGCTCCTTCATTCTTTAGATATTCTCCTACTCAAGCCAAAATACGTTATAGGCTACAACAGTCTTAATGGCTTGTGCCCCTGAGCGTGGGACTATGGCTGTCCTTTTTCCACCCCTCCCCCTAGGTTTCCTCTCCAAGGTTAGGCATTCTTGGCTTGAACCTGTGAGGTAAATTAGTAGCTGATGAAGAGAATGCCACGTAGTATTCAAGGCAGGAAGAGATGTTTTATTATTACCAAAGTGCTTCACAGCCATGCATGGTGGAGACTCACAGGCTGAAAGGAGCTAGCGGCTGTCCTGCCTGGGTTTAAGTCAGGAAGGGGTGGTGAGAAGGTGCGGCTAGGGAAGGGAAGGTGTGGCCACACTGGATGCGGATGTGATCTCAAGGCCTGGTGGGATCCTCTCCCCAGTCTGATGGGACCTTGGTGTGTGTGTGGGGACAGCCCAGGATGTGACCTCAGAGGAGGGGGAGGTGGCTGCTTCCAGGTGTGCCAGTTACCTAGGTGACACAGGTACTGGAGGGGAGACTTATGCAGGAGGTAGGGAGTCCAGGGCCTGTGCAGGACCAGGCAAGACCATATAAAAACCAGATCTAAAACCAAAAGAAACTTATCTGCTTAGAAATTTGGCCTCAGCCGGACAGCACTCCTTTACATGTTCATGTGGCTCTTACGTTAGTAAAAATGGATGGAATGGGCCAACTATTTCAAAAGATCCAAGGATTTTTTTTCCCTAGGTATTTTGGATGACCATATTATAGTAAATACTATAGAGATCATGGGAATAAAGAGTTTCATAAGGCCATTTTCCAAAATGGTTTGGTGCCATTAAGTCTGATTTACAGAGCCACACTTAAAATACCTCAGGCTAATTACTATTAATTTTGGGAGGTGAACTTTTTTCTTTCCCATTTTTTTGACAACCCAGTAGAATTGCAGTGCAATTAGAAGAAGATTCTTTTGAGAAATGTCATATTAAGATCTTAGAATGTAAACACATTTGTATAGTACTATCCATAACGCTTCCTCAGGTTTTTAACTACTGGAAATCCTTAACCAATTACAATAGTTTTTTTCTTCTTTTTATTTTCAAAATGATTTGATTGCTTTTATTAGACATTCTTTGCTGATATTTTTTGTAATTATAGTTCATCTAAACAAGCTGTTTTCTGAACATTAAAATTTGTAATCTAAAGATAGAATTCTATTTTTAATGAACTTACAGAAGTAGCAACATCATTATTTTTCATTCTTTTAGGAAATAGCTATTGCCAAAGTAAAGAGGTAGATTATATTTCATGTTGTTATATAATGGGGATGCGTTTGGCAGAGGAATTGTTTTCTTTATAAAGTTTCAAAGGGTGTCAGTGTTCATTTATGCCATTTCTTCAGTTCTAAAATGGTTCTATTCCATACCAGAAATTTGAAATATGTAATCTGAAATCCTTAATAAAACCTGGATTTAAAATTTTATTACAAAAAAGAAATTTGGCCTCAGTATCAATTGACAATCACAGATTTAAAAACTTAACCACTTAGAACTTTGACCTTAGTACCAATTGGGTAATTGCACTGACCGGAAAACACCACCTTTTAAAATTTCCTTTATTTGCAGTAATATTTATTAATACATATTAAAGTAATAATTATTATCCTGTGATTTTTTTAAATTTATGAACATTAGTACAGGTACTTTCCCCACTATGTCACAATAATACAGTGACAATAGCAACGAAAGCAATAACAATATCTCTTCCTGTTAGATGCTTATTAAAGCTTTCATATTTGTTTTAAGTATTGTTTATTTTAATCTTCACTGCTGCTGTGATTTAAGTATTTCATTATCTCCACTTTATTAGTGAGTAA